GGTTCGGGTTTCGCCGGTTTAAAAAATTTCAAACCGGTTCAAACCGGTTCACCACCGGTCCGGTTCGGGCTTATGTCGATTTCAATAATTTTAATTAAAAAAACCGAACCAACCTGCCAAAACCGGTCCGGTTCGGCCGGTTCGGTCGGGTTTTCAGTATAAATTCCCACCCCTAGCTGAAACCATATTGTAACAAATTTAAAAGAATGGGATATGTTATTTTAAAAATTGAGAAGATATGGACTAATAAGTCTTAAGGGTGTAATCACATGGTACTAAAGTGTAACTAACCCTTATTTTATGTTATCGTTATTTATATCAATGACTATAAGGAATGCTCTTTTGTTTTTGTTTTTTTTGTTTTAAAACAAGAAATAAAATTACAACGAGGTTCTATAAGGATCCCTAAATTCCGACTATCGTACACGAGTTTCAAGAAAACTGAATGAAGGAAGTTTGTAAACCAAATACAAGTATGAGAGCATCTCCAACAGCATCTTCAACAACATCAGAAAAAGTCTCTCCAACAGCCTTTTCAACCTTAGTCATTAAAGCTGCAACTTCTTTCTCTCTTTTCAGGACTGGTAAGTTGACTTTGGCTATTAAAACATTTAATTTTACTTTGGAAAAACAAAACTTACCTTGAAAATGTTAAAACCATGCATTTTTTATTTTCATATAATAAATACATTTTTCACATATTTTCATATTTTTCATTCTTTTCCATGATATTGCATTAATTGAATTGAAGAGTTTGTTGGAGCAAAAATTAATCAAGTAACAAATAAACATTTTCAAATTGCCACATAAGTCAACAAACTTTAATTTAAAGAATTTAATTTGCTAACTACTCTTGTAGATGCTCTAGAGCGGCGTTTGGCATGAGCACAGTGAGCGATGACCCTCTTAAATACCAACTTACATTAATATAATGTTGATGCCTAATAATGGTATATTAATTTACTAACATTAATATTGATAATGTCGTTTGGTTTATTAATATTAATATTGATAATATTGATAATACCAACTTGCATTTTTCTTTGAGTGCTGCTATTTCCACCCACCTGTCCTATTTCCTCACCCACCTAATCTTACAAATTTTAAAGACCAATTTATCCTTTTATAAAATGACTTCTATGGGCTTAAGGGAAAAACATTAAAACCAATTAAAAAACATAAGAAAATGATTATAAAAAAAAACTAAAAAGATTATTAACAAATATCAAACCCTTTCCCTCACAACATGCATACCCCACCCTTCTCCCTCTTCCTCCACCGCACAGCAGCCATCTCCCCCATTGACAAGAACTTAGCTTTCATTGTCAATTCCACTCATTTCCTCAACTTTGCCAGGAATCATATCTTTCATTACCCAAACGCACCAACTTGGTTCTTCATGGTCAACATTGATGAGAATTTCAGCTGCCTCCAAATCCCTTCCTAAAAAACAAACATGTATTTTAAACAAAGCCCGATGCTTTAATGATTATATGGGCAAAATTAAAACAATTAAAATACCTGTGGCCACCTTGAAAGGAAATTGATTTTAGATTCCTGCTTTAGAGCTCTGATTCGCGTCAAGAAGTTGATTGAATCCACAGTAGTTTCTCAGTTGCCCATTCTCTTCTCGCAGAGCCTACAATTCTTCGTCAGTGGTGGACGCAAAGGTGGTAGTGTTGAGGCTTGGGTTTTTGGGGATGAATCTAGGCAGTGGGGTGGGGCTAGGGATTGCGGTCGGGGAAAGGGTGGCTGCTTAGGGCGGATGGGTTTTTGTATTAAAAATTTCTTATTTTTTAATTGAGTTTTATAAATTCTATGAATATTTTATTACACCTAAACATAAAAACAAGCAAAAATATGAAATTAACTCTTAATATTAATCTAAGGGTATTTTAGGAATAATGGTGGGTGGAAAGATAGGATTTTATTTTTTCAAATTTACATGGTGGGTGGGAAGATAAGGTGGGTGGGAAAATAGGACAGGTGGGTGGAAATAGCAGCACTCAAAGAAAAATGCAAGTTGGTATTATCAATATTATCAATATTAATA